AAAAGTTGGATGCTTTTTAATATACTTGCAGAATGCCTAAAGAAAAAGAGCAAGAATAAAGTAGAATGCCTGAAGAAAAAGAGAAGAAAAAAAATAAATTTTTGCGTAAAATTTAGTATTTTTTATTTTTTTTAAAATTTAAAACCTTTTATCTTATGATATTTGATTCTTGCGATTTCAAAAATAAAATATTTGACTAAAATATGAATGACATTTTAGAAACCAAATGTAGGATAAAATTGTGTAAAGCAATGGGCACAATGATAAAACGGTTTAAAAGCAGTGTATGCAAGTCATCCTAAGTTAAAATGTCGGTTTTACATCTTAGCTCTCTTATTATATCTATCTTCTGAACGGGACATTGAAAGGCATGTAACTGTGCTTTACTGTAGTTTTCTCTTTCTCTTACTATATGCAGTTTTCAAACGCATCAATAGTCATAGTGGGGGGTTACAAAGAGTCCTTCCGAAAGAAAGAATCGCAATTCAAATAAATAAAATTAAATTCTGGAAAAATTATAATTTAAATAAATATATTTAAAATGCTCAGTTCGAATTCGAAGGAATAAATAGAAAATTTAAAAACAATTATCTGAAGAGACAATGCAACCACAAACAATTAAATAAAAGTATAAAAAAAATTTAAAAATTATCTAAAATATAACTGAAAATATATATATAAAGAAAACTATTTTTGAAAAAAATAAACGCTGGACCTTTATTTACGCAGTTTTGAATAGGTAAATAGAAATTTTTTAAAACAGTTATTCGAAAAAAAAAAACCATGCAAACTTAAACAATTAAAATGAAATTTGAAAAAGAAAAAATTACTTAAAATAATAAGTTATAATTAAAAATATAATATAAAGAATATTATTTGGAAAAAAGGAACGATTGTAACTTTTTTCCCTCTCGCGGGAAAGGAAACTAGGTTGCCATATATTAAGAAGTTCGTCAAGTGAACTATTCTTGGCGAAAACTGAAAAAATAGTGCAAATATAAATGTAGTGCCGATCGCTTGGAGCTGTGATGAAAACCAGATGCTGTGACATCATTCTCTCTACGAGCTCCGAAGGCGCCAAGCAAAAATTAGGGGAATTACCGTTTTGAGATGATAGACGATTGACGTGGGAGCAGAGACGCTGCTTCTGTTCAAAAAGAACTTTGACGAATCATTACTTGTTTAATTCTCTTAAATGTTAAATTTATGTAACAATCGTTTGTGTAATTAAAATGTCTTTTGTTAATTAATTTGTTCATCGTTTAAAATCCCCACATAAATTTGTGAATTTCTCTGTAAATTTCACTTCAAATTTTACAAAATTTCATATTTAGGCGCAATTTTAGTTGTAGAATCGAAATATGTAAAAAAAATCGGTATGTTATTTCAGAAAAAGTCAGATTTTGTGTCAAAATACCCATGTTAGAATAGTGCTATATATAAATCTAATATACATCCTAAGTCGCGCTTTTGAGACATGAAGAATGAAATTTGAATTTTGTCAATCGGCCCAGTAGAACGGGAGATATAGAACTGTCTCATTTTTTTTTAGCAGTGTACATATGGTTTCAAAGCTCCCAAAGATCCTTCCTGAATCTTCAGAAAAAAAAACACATGAAAAGGAAATGGATATAAAGAGAAAAAAGTGTCAAGTACAGAGATGCAATGGAAACAAATCTCAAGAATATTGTGCATCTTGATTGCCAAAGTTGTCCAAAGCTGCCGTGTGGAAAATGCACTGGAAAAATTGTTTTAAAATTTATTTTTGTATCAACTGCATTAATTCTTATAATGTATGTATAATCTCTAATATTTTAAACATTAAATATAATTGAAACAAAATGCTTTACATATTCCATTCAGCTACACATACAATGATATAACTGAAACATCAAAGAACATTTCTCATTTCTAGATTTAAAGAGTGAATCATCCTCCGAGTAAGCACATAAAAATATTATTATATAAATTGTGTTTTATTTTAGTTAACATTAGTTTTAATTTGTGAAATCATTTATTTGAAATCAATTCTTACATCAAATTTAGTTAGTTATTTGAGTAATTGTAGTACGATCCAATTGATCGCCATGTATTCGATACATTTACAGTATTTTAAAAAGTCAATAAATTACCATGCGATATTAAATATAAATTATGAAATACATATAAAGTACATATTTGTGCCAATGTATGGCATTTAAAATTGTTTTATCATTGCTATTTCAGTACTCTCATTGAAGGGGGGAAAATGACCCCTTACCACCATTCTAGTGTTAAGGAGGTGCTTGGCAGCACAATTTAACAACCCCCTGAGACTGCCACAGACAGTAAGATATCTAGCACCGGCCCTTGATAAGCCTTTTAAGTATATGTGGGAATTTATTAATTCAGGACTCAGATAAACATTAAGCATGTGCAAGAGATAGGCACAAGTATAATAAATACAATCAGGCTTAATCGTCTCAGTGCACGATAGAAGCAAGACAAAATTTAGCGAAACAACTTGCCTTTTGTCACCAATTTCATGCTACATAGCCAATAATGTATAGCAGATGCTATTAAGCTAGGCTAAAATTATGCTTTTCCGGTTCCAAGGAATTTCTATCAATATAGCAGATTGCGCTATTCCTTAACTTTTTGATTTGATCCAGCTTAATCATTTTTTGCAGGCTGTTTTTATTACAGTAATTTTATGAAAATTAAGGTTTCAACTTTCGAGTATGTTGAAAAAAAGTTTCTAATTCTGGAGCTGCAACATGATCTACAAAGTGAAAGCATAGTTTGATGCCCATTAAACAAAAAGTGGAATTCCTGCAAAAATGGATAAAGGTTTACCCGTCTCAAAATTATGAGACGAGTATGGCATTGGAAAGTCAACTGTATATGACATTAAAAAACAGAAAATGGAACTGTTTGAATTTTTTGTGGATTCTGATACCCCACTAACAATGAATAACAGAAAAATTATTCATTATGCTAAAAGTGAAAATTATGGCATAGTGATGACTGAATGGGTCAGACAGCATCGCAGCGAGAACTTGCCATTGACGAGTCAAATACTAATGGCTCACGCTAAAATATTTCACTAAGAAATGAACTTAAAAACTGAGTGCACATCTTCGACGAGTTGATTAAAAAATTTAAAAATCGGCATGGTAAAAGGCAATTAAGAATTTCAGGTGAAAAAGCTTCAGCTGATACTGAAGCTGCTAAACTATTTACAGATGAATTCCTTAACAGTTAAAAGTTACCTCCAGAACAAATTTACACCGCTGATGAAATTGGTCTTTTCTGGGAATGAGGCTCGGTTAGAATTTGGTTGGTTTATCGAGACCTATGTGATGTACATATTGGCCTCAGTTGGTTTACCTGATGACACAAAAATAGTCCTGATTGTAGACAATAGTTCGGCTCATACTTCACTTAAAATTTTAGTGAAAGATAATGCATCTGTACTATGCTTTCCTCCAAACTGTGCCTCCATCATTCAGCCCATAGATATTGGAATGAATAAGATCGTGGGAGAATGTATCTCCAGATACTTTAAGAACTGCTTGGCATAATTTATGGCCAATAGCATATTTCATGGTGAGGATAATGAAGATGATAGCCATGAATGTGAAAGTTTTCAGATATCGCAAACCAAAGATTAAATTTTCCAATATATGAATTTTTTAAAGAAATGTGGAGAAGCAGAAATAAATGAAGATAATATAAGAGAAGTTTTTCATTGAGATGACAATGTCCCAATTATCAATAAATTAGCAGACAGTAAAATCAGTAGTATGGTTTTAAATCCAGAAAATACTGCTACCGATAGTGAAGAAAGTAACAGAGAAGTTACTGAAAATGAATAAATTTCGATTGACAAATACTGCTACCAATAGTAAAGAAAGTGACAGAGAAGTTACTGAAAACGAATAAATTTCGACTGACAAGTTACTCCAAATTCTTGACACGGCAATTAGGACTTTGTAAGTGTTCTTTGTTAACAATAGAACTTTGTAAGTGAATGAGAAATTAAGTCTGTCTACAGAATTAAAGAGAAAATATTAGCACAAGAAAAGCAATTTAAACAATTTACATTGAAAAAAATTTTTAATGAGATCATAAATGCTTCATTATTTCATAAATCACAATTTCATATTTTTAATTTTATAATTTCTACATACCATCTTACAAGTTTTAAACTGATGACCTAATATCTGGAAAAATCCCAATCTGGAATCGGTGAAATCCCAACGAGTCCAGATCTTGGACTTTGTACTGTATATTCTTTAAAATATTGCTGTTAAATGCACACCTTGCTTTCTGCTAGCATGCGTCATTTGCCACTCTGATTTGTCCATTGTGTAAAGACAGCAATATAAAACTGAGGGATGTTTATCACACCCAAAATGATGTATGATTGAGAAATCTCAAAACTTTCCAACAATAAACCATGCCTTGTCTACAAACACATCTGCAAGTTTTTTCTTCTGCATTATACATCTATGACAATCTGATTAGTACAAAAAATCACCATTCTACGTATGCAGTAAAGAATCTCAAGTTAAGTATAGAAGTACAATATTTCTGTTTTATGTACATTGGATAGGTTTTTTTCGCATACAATTTTTGATTTTGTCATACAACTTTTCTATTGTATATATAATGGATAGGTTTTTTTCGTGCACATATTTTATTCGTGCATATATTTGATTTAGATGATTTGACATTGTTTTACATGCAATATCAGGAATTATGAAGTTCATATGTTCTTTACGGCTGTAGCTAGTTTTTAACCTCTCCTTTTCTTATGAATCTATTTACATGTTTTATATACATATAGTGGAATGTAGCACACACATATACAGCATTAGTTTTGAAAGTCCTTTCAGCAGCATCTACTATTTGTAAATTTATATACATATATTATTTTAATACATTAAATTATATATAAAAAAAAAAGCTTAACAAAAACTTTAAAAATTAAAACTTATTCACCAAGGTTTACTTACTGGCTGTAAAATTCTATTGAATTTGCCCATACGCTCCACAATCCAAGCTTCTTGCTGAGGTACAAACATAATGATAGTATTGAAAGGAGTTGAATGAGCATGTCTCACAACTTCAAAATGCTTTGGATTCTACATACAAATATAAATTTTAATTCAAGCATTAAAATATGCAAGAGTTTTAACATAATATATAATCTATACACTAAAACAATTTTATCTAAATATGAAATTGATTTATGCATGTATGATAAAAAATGCAAATTAAAATTATAATTTAAAATGCCTCTTAATTACTCCTTTTTAATTTGGGTGCTTTATCTCTAGTAATAACTTTCTCTAAACTGCATCAATGTAGGATTTATTCTGCGTGGAAAGAGCTCCTCTGGATTTATTTTTCTAAATTCAGAGTACCGTAAAGCAGGGTTCAAAAACATCAAGTGTCATTCATCTGCGAATCTCCCTGTGCTTTGCTTTTCTTCGTCAGCTATGAAATGTCGTGCTTCAAATCCGAGTTTTGTGAAAACTGATTATTGGTGCTTTAAAAATGGAGACAAGAGCTAAAGCCGCAATGTCAACAAATTCGCAGGAATCAATAGCCACTATCGACGCAACCAAATGCCAATTTGCTATTTTTGATGAATCCAAAAGTGATATTCCTGTGGATAATTACACTGCTATTTGAACAAAAATGCAACGCAAAAAATATTCCAAGAACTGTGAACTTTTACTGTTATTTATTGAAAAAATTAAGACTTTTTTACAGTAGGTTTACAGAAAAATAAACTTGCAGACTCAAAATTTCAGTATCATTTTTAATTTCCATTTCTTCTTAAAAATGACGTCTACAAGATTTTGTTATTTTAAAACATTTAGATCAAAATTTATAATTATTTTTTTTAATTGTATTTCATTTGTTTCGCTACTATTTTAATGCTTTCTTCTAAAAAGGCTTTTCTGTCGCCAAGCCTTTTTCTCTTTAAAGGGGAATATGTAAAATAAAAAAAAAGCAAAGCAAAATTACAATTTAAAATGAGTCTTAATTGCTCATTTTTAATTTGGGTGCCTTATTTCTAGTAATAACTTTCTCTAAACTGCGTAATATCTGAACACGTATTCCGCATTATGTCATCTTGAAACTTCTGCATTGCCTATAAATTTCAGCCAATCAGATTAACGAAAAATGTTACTATAAATATTTGTTGCAATCCTAGCAGGAAGATGTAAAATATAAAAAATTGGACGGCTTTGCTCTATGCAAACAAGCAACCTTTAATTAACTTTCTGCAATTTCAGGATAATCCCCTTAGACCAGTACTTTTGAGAACATTCCAACCTATTACGTAACCACTTCTATAAGTAGAGAACTCTCTCCATTTTGCGTCAAAGAGAGAGACCACTTTCTCCCTTTGCTGCTAAGATCTGTGCTTCTGCTCTTCTGCCTGTCTTTGTTAGAATGCTATGATGCATTGAAATTAATTTATTTAATAAAGAGTGATGATATGCCTTTCAATTGAATAAAGATGTGGAATCAAAACAATTAACTTCTGTGTCATTCTTGGATTGCAAAGCTTCACTCATGTGCCCGACTGCCAAAATATTACATATATATATTTGACAAGAAGCCTACAATGTCATTAATTTTTAATCCTTGATTAGCTTAAATTTTCTGAAAATATTCTATGTATATATATCAGTGTAAATGAGATACGTTCTGATGACCTCAGAGATCATGTGATTTATGCATAGTTAATATAAGCAATGTGGATCACCTCAAAGATCACCTGACTTGTGCATAGCTCATGTAAATCAATAAGATCATTCTTCTGTTCTCTTGGGAAATGCATCTCATTATTCAATCTTATTCCTTGCTTTCAGAATCAAATACACAATACTTTTTCTTTTTATTAACAAAGCATTTTTGTCAAACTTTTTTTATTAATAGAAAGCAATTACTTTTATTTTTTAAATCTTATTGCATTGTGACATAATTTAAACAAATGTTTCTGTAAGGGTACATATTACATTTTAATAAAAGATATTCCAGTAATATAATTATCATTACTTTTCATGTCTATTATTGAATACAAAAATTTTAAAATAATAAATGAAACATTATGTAACAAATTGAAAGAGGTGGAATATAGAATTAGAAACATGCATAAACCTCATACAGTAGTCAATTATGGTACATAATACATGGATGAAAATTTTTTATTAAATACTGTCTCTTGCTAAAAAAAAATTGGGTTTTATTTTATTAAAATATTTTTTGTAGGACATCAGATGCAAGCATTAGTTTTTAAATATTTAAAAATACTCTATTAAAGAAATTAACCCTAATTTCAATTTTAAATACCTATAAATATGTATATCTGTCATCCTTTTGAACTCTGAATAGAGTTTGGTAAAGAAAATGAAGGGACAATGAAACAATTACTTCTAGCAATAATAATTTATTTCCATATTACTATTACAATCGTAGGAAACATACATTTTTAAAAAATTTCAATAAATTAAATTTAGAAATTTTACACCTTTTTTGTGATTTTTACAATTCTTAGACTGCAAGATTTGAACTGAATTTTCTGAGTTTTCTGAAAGAACTGAAATTTTCAATGAAAAAATGTCCAGCAATTTCCAAGGCAGAGAAGGAAAAACATCCTACACAAATGAAGTAATGCAAATCAGTTAATCAGTTAACAAAATAATACCATTAAAATAGGCATTCCAATGAGATGTAGACATCTGCTTCATTGGAAAAGAATTCCATCTATGAACTAATGGGATTGAAGTAATTTCAAACACCTTTTCCCAAATGATATATGAAACCTACAGAGGACATTCATACACTTTTAGAATGATTTCAATAAGAATTAGAAAAAAAAAAAAAAAAAAAAAAAAGCAACTGTTTGGGAATAAAAATTTCTGGCAAGTTTATTAATTTCAAATTACAAATATTATCTGCTACTTTTAAATTTATTCTTTTTTTTTTTTTTCCTTTTTTTCAAAATATTGCATGTAAGTAAGCTCTGAATGAAGGATGAGTTTTTGCACTTTTCAAAGAGAAATATTCCTATTCCGTAATTGAAAAACATTGTGAAATGCACGGCATTAAAATTTCTAAGAGCAAAATAAGCAATATTAGTAATTGGAAAATGAAAACCAACATTCATTACTTATAAATGGAAAGAAGACCCCAAACGAAAACATAGAAACGGTACATACTATTTCTAATGTTTTCGAAGTTAAATCATTAGTAACATGAAATCTACCAATGCAGAATCAATTGTTAAGTCATTCCTTACTATAGGCTTTATAATGAAGGCACCAAAGATCCAATCTACTTAGATGTAAAAGATATGTGCAGAGTACGATCTCATACTCATTCAATATTTATATTATTAGATATTTAAAAAATACACGCAACTTTTCAATTCTCTCTCAGAATTTAACCAAAACAGATTTATAAGAAAGATTTCTCAACTGCTTTTAGTCTTTCAGAAATGACTTCCAATTTCAATTTCTTTCCTCTACAGCTGCTTGTCAGTATTCTTTCACATGCAGCTAAACAATATCCAATATTCAGATTAAAAAGTAAGATCAGAAAATGGATAAAAGAAAAAAGCATCCACAATGATGATAATCATAATAAAACTACTTAATTTTGTAAAGGAGAGGGAATTAAAATGGAAAAATTTGATGAGCCTGGAATTTCATATATTGTACTTGAATGAAATTTTTGATATCTTGTCAAATGAGAAATTTTACTGAACACCAACATTAAAAAAAAGTAACATTTTATCAATTGTAGAGATTAAAAAATTAGAAATGTGCTTGCTAATGAACACAGCAAGTTATTAGACAAATATCAATTTTTAATTCCGATTCTGAAACTCAATAACAATTATTATAACAAATAAAATTTCCTGAAAAATGCATTGTTTATCAAAATTAAAAACTTACTAAACTCTGATATGTTTACAGAATTTTTTCAGACTACTGTATTATTCAGATTCAAAACATATAAAATGACAACATGAATGAATTATGCAGCAGGATGGCATAATAAAATACAGATTCAGTATTAGTCACAATGTAGTCAAAGGACTGATTACTTGTTGACAGATAAGTTGCCTTGAAAAATTACCTATATGAAACAAATTTACATTTGCATTACATATGAAAAAAGGGCCTAAAAACCCACTGGGAATAAAACCTATGATGAAATACTAGAACATAAATATTCTGCATAATAATTAAAAACATAATGCATGTACATAATGTATAATGTCATTAGATTAATTTATTATTCCAACATACATAGGTCAGTCAGAAAGTTAGCTGCATCTCTTAAGTTTTCTGTCAATTGTTATTTTTGACGAAACTGTCTGGCAACACTTCAGACATTTAGCTGTATCATGTGACGTAGCGACTTTCACAAAGATATTTTAGTTTGTCTGATAATCAGTCATAAACATGTCTCGACAGCTACAAGTGGACAAGTGGCGTCTAAATTGAAAATGCGTACAGTGATTTGTTTTTTGTGGACGAAAAGTTGTAACTGGTATTTATTGGCAGTTGCATGAAGTTTATTGTGAAAATGCAGTCATGTCAAGCTATCGCAAAGTGGTGCAACATGTTTGAGAACAGACGTACAGATATTGACGAGACTGACATGAGGGAAGACCATCAACTGCCACAAATTCTGAAATTGCTGCTCATGTGAATGAATGCATTCTTGCAAACAGATACATAATAGATGAAATCTCTAATGAACTGGATATTTCTCATGGATGAGTGCATAAAACTGTCAATCAGCTTCAATTTCATAAAGTATGTGCTCAATCGGTGCCTCATTTACTGACGGAGGAACATACGAAAAAGCGTTTTAAAAGAGTGTTGAAATTTCTACAACATTACCAAAAGGAAGGAAATGAGTTTTGGGACAACATTGTGACTGGAGATAAGTCTTCGATTCCCCACTTCTCACATGAAATGAGATGCAGCTCCCTCGAATGGAAACATTCCACTTCCCTGACTCCAGAAAAAACTATCAAACTGCTCCATCTACAGAAAAGGTCATGCCAACACTGTTTTTCGACAGAGAAGGTTTGGTGCACACAGAGTTCATGAAAAAGGCTCCCACAATTAATACACCTTCTTATTGTGAAACACTAAAAGGATTGTGACAATCACTTAAAAATCGACGGTCAGGTAAACTGTCAAAAGGCAGTGTGCTCCTGCATGGCAATGCAAGACCGCATGCAGCAAAACAAATGTGCGACCTTCTGAAAAAGTTCAAATGGGAAGTGTGGGATCACCATCCTTATAGTCCAGACCTTGCACTATGCGACTTCCATGGTTTTGGTCCCATGAAAGCAGAACTTTCAAAGCAACGATACCACCCAGATGACGAGATGAAAGCTAAAACCCAAGAATGGTTATTGGGGCACTGGACGGGATTTCGTTGCAGAAGGCATAAAAAAACTTGTACCATGCCTCAACAAATGCTTAAATAATGAGGGTAATTATGTTGAAAAGAAGATTTTGAATGGAACTTCAAGATGCAAATAAAGTTATAAAATTTCTACCCTGTTTTGATTTCTTAAGCAGTACGACTAACTTTTTGACTGACCCTCTATTTCATAAATTTAAATTTCCAAAAGATTACTTACAAAATGTAACAGTTTCTTTGCTTGGTTATGTGATAGTGATCTGGATTCAGGCTGCTTCTTATTTGACATCACAGAAAAATTACAAACTAATCCTTTCTGCAACACCTGTGTAGCAATTTCATCATAGAAAAATATGTGCTAAAAAAATCAAAATTTGATTAAATAAAACTAGCATTTGTTTAATAAGATACAAATTTTATTTAAAAGATTACCATCAAATCTTGCTTCTTCACATAACAGTTATAGAAAAAGTAGTACAAGTCAGAAATCAAGTCAGAAATCTGAACATTTAATATTCTCAGAATGATCTAATAGCCAGTCCACTGGCCCAAAAAATAAATGAAATAAATTTTAATAATTCCCCACCTTGCCTATTCTTTGCTAAGTCTAGAAATGGAGAATATGAGGAATTAAAGGAAGAAGGTATGATATAAATTAGCAATTTTTTATTAGGAATGTTTTATGTAATTTTTACTCTTCCATTATGGACATTTCTTGCATTTTTTATTTCATTAAATCATGGCTGTATTATGTAATTTTCAGTGTGCCACCATTCTCATAAAATGGCTACTGTTTTCCATGCATTAAATTGGTGAAAAAGTAGTTGTCAACAATTTGGCAACTTTGTGGGAGTGCTGGGCAGATAACACAAATGTACCCTTTTTCCTTTATTATTTCACTTTCAGTTCAAACTTTCTTACCTAATTATAATAATTTGAATACAACCTATAATGCTATAAATCAAGAATTACGCTGACTGATTCTAAATAAAATACAAGAAACAAAAGCTTTTGGCAAAGGCATGTTAACAAAATGTTATTAAAAATCTTAACTCTAGAGTACTGATTTTAATACTCATCAACAAGGAACCCCAGTAATACTAAATAATCTTGATAGAAAATCCAGACATCATGTGCTTTGTCCTTATGTGCTTTGCCTTATGGCAACCAATAAATTCAAATATAAGTTTATACAATAAGAATCAAAGCTTATATAATAAGTTTTTTAATAACCATGTAACATCAGTACTTCCTTATTATTACTGACCCCATATTGTAAAGAGACTAAAATTATTGATCAATTCCCAGCATAAACCATCTTCAAATGTCCAGCAGTCCTAACAATTATGATTTATGGTTTGCTTGTGATAGAAAGAGCTCCAAGCAACCACATTATATTTTCTTTTTTCATATAAATTCATTCATGATCACTCATAATTATCTAATTTATTCCCCGTGTTAATGTATTCAACTACTTTTCATTTTTAAATGTTTTAATTTACTGAGAAGCAAAGCAGATGCTTTATCTTTCTTTCAAGAAAGATTAATTTTACCTCGCATTTGAATATGTGAAAATGGCCATTGCATAAAACTTCGTATCTGTGAAAGCGCCCAACATGAAGAATTTGCATATCCAACCTAATCAACATGTTGGACCAACATAAAGGTCCAATATGAAAATTTGCAAGTGAAGGAGAAGCAAGGTATATACGCCTTTTTAAATTAAAACAGAACTCTGTGTACATGGTATTGTTCAAAATTTATTGTTGTTATGTTAGTTTATTTTAGCAAGGTGTGCATAGATTGTGCAATTCTCCAATTTTTTTTTTTTTTTTTTCTAAGTTTAAACAAAAACACTGTGTACATGGATTCTTGTCAAATATTTTTGGTTAGAAACTTTATGTTTCTGCTATCTAAATTTTTTCTTTTGGATTTTTGGCGTAAATTGTGTGTTAAAAGTATGGTATTTGCACGTGCGAAAACCGCAGTTTTGCAGATATTTTAGGCTTATAGTTGAAACGTAGGCAAAAAATTTAGATAGTAATATGGCACCATGGAGTTTCTCGCCAACCGAGGGTGTATATAAGAGTAGTTGCAGAAGCAAACATTTTGGCAACAGGTTCATTGGTTTCAGAATACTGTTTGTAAAATCAGCGATTTATTTGATATTCTGGTTAAGGTAAGAAAAGCAACTTAGCCTTTATGAAAATACAACTATTGACTAGAACAGTTTTATGAGGCAGGTTTATTCTCGGCATACAATCCAACAATTAAATAAGCATAATGGTGCCACTGAAAAAACTTATTCAACATAAACGAAAATCTGTTTGTATGGGGGAAAACCAAAGCTAGTATGATTCTTCTGCAATAATGGATATATTGGAAGCTATGTCCCAAAGAGAGAAGCAACTACACTCAAGGCAAAAATTATTAACCATCTACGAGAGGTTACCGGAAGGTAAGTTCCCGAATATATATATCCTGCATCTGACAAATGGTGATAATCTACCTACATTACTATGTCTTCAATCACTAAAATCACTATGGGGAAAACCAAAGCTAGTATGATTCTTCTGCAATAATGGATATATTGGAAGCTATGTCCCAAAGAGAGAGGCAACTACACTCAAGGCAAAAATTATTAACCATCCAAGAGAAGGTAAGTTCCCGAATATATTTCCTGCATCTGAGGTTACCGGAAGGTAAGTTCCCGAATATATTTCCTGCATCTGACAGATGGTACTAATCTACCTACATTACTATGTCTTCAATCACTAAAATCAAAAAAAAAGTTAATTTCATCACAACTGAAAACTTCATATGGTGAAACACTGACATGTAGATCTTGCACGAAAGATGTTCAGGATTACAGAAGGTAGTATCGTGAAATTCATTCTATAATTTGATTTTTAAATGCAAGGAATATGCAATCACGCAAAATCTATTGGCAAGCCTGTGACGTGTATAGCGATACAGCTATAAGTGAGGGAATAATTTGAGGATAGGTTCAATATTTCAACTTAAGCAGAACAAGTGTGCATGATAAAGTGAGAAGCAACCTGCCATTTGCTGTGAATAATGAATTGGTTCATCAAGCTAATATGAAAATTTCTACAAATAGACATTTCATGATCACCAACCTTTTGCTGATGTTTCCTGAAATTTTGCATATCATTTTGCATGAAACTGTTACTCAGCACTGAGGTTACCAAAAAGTGTGTACATGATAAGTACCGAGTCAAGACAATACTGAGAAAGGCCAACCGTTGAACTACATTGTCACTTGTGACGAGACTTGAATTTCGCATGTGGCAACTTCATCGAAAAACAATTAATGGAATAGAAGCACCCTGTCTCACTGACTTGCCAGAAATTCAAATGTGGCACTTCCATATGCAAAATCATGTGCATCATTTTCGAGAGGGGAAAAAAGTATCATATTGCTGGATTTCACAGACAGATAAAACTGTCAATGCCACTACTTATTCTACAGCACTGAAAAACCTGCAATGCACCATTCAAAACAAGAAATGTTGCTTGCTTACTAATGGTATTTTATTGCATAACAATGCTAGAACACATTCTGCTCAAGATCTCATCTAGCTCTTTCATTGAGAACAAATTAATACTCCACCATGTAGCCCTGATCTAGTGCCGAGTAACATGTCTTGTTAGGTGTTGCATGGAAGTTGGTGACCTCTTCAATTTATGCTTTTATTCTGTATTCCTAAGTTTCTCTGAAATGTAATTTTGTGAGTTTAGTGTAATTTAAGTTACATTCCATCTAGTGCGATTTAGTATTTTTTATTTTGAGTGTAACTGGAAAAAAGATGGTTTCTAGACTGCATGTAGCTAAAGCTTAATGAGGCTTCACATCATCTTCGAACATTTTAGCCAGAAAGATTTTGATGCATCATGATTCTAAGTTTCACAGCCCACTGATTAAAGATGCCCCAACTGCTTCTGGAAGCATCATTTGCTAGTCTCTTCTGTCCACTGGCCAATTGGAAGATTTCATGTTTGAACTTCCTATCAATGTTCTTTTTTAAACATAATCACACTATCATACACCTCCTCACACTATTACTGTACTGATCTTTCTATGTGATGGTCTCAGCATAACGAACTGTTTTTGATTGAAAAACTATTAATGTGTGTATAAAGCAAACTTTTCTTTACAAGTTTTACATCCTTAGAAAAAGCTCTGGACGATGAATATTTTAACATAAAAATGATGATCATATAGTGAAAATTTTTAAACATGTACCAAATTTATGAAAATAGATAAATTAAAATCTTAGCAGTTTTAACAAAACAAAAGCAAGAAATTTAAAAGTTAAATTTTTACATAAATTTAACTTAAACACATAAATTTCTTACTGAAAAACCTCATAACAATATAATAGCATAATTATCTTCATTTCGATACATATTTTGTTGAAAAACACCAAGCTATCATGTAACACTCTAACACAGTCAAAAGTTGTTAATCCGGACACCCATAATCCGGAATGATCTATAATCCAGACCTCGAAGCTACAAACTTTCTGCGCATACGTCAATGCATAATGTGTTGACGCATGCGCGTAATACCTTTACGCTTGTGCATATGCGTGTACACATGTGCATAATATGTTTATGCATGTGCATTTAATGTATAATGGAAGGTATAAGCTAAGCTAAAATTATCTAATTATCTATTTCAGTTAATGTTGCATGCAGATTGCGTTGTTCCTTAATCTTAGAATTGGATCTGGTTTATTATTTTTTGCAGACTGTTAGAGCAACTTTATAAAAGTAAGTTGTAACTTTCGATTATGTCAAATAGAATTTCCGATGCTGGATCTACAAAGGGAAAACATATTTTGATGTCCATCAAACAAAAAGTGGAATTGATGCAAAAAATGGATAAAGGCTCCTTTGTTTCTCTAACCATTCCGAAATCTGTTTATAAATTTCACGCTGTTCTGCGCCGGGGGGTGGGGAACGTCACGGCGCGCAATGAACTGGAAGTTGATCAGTCAGCACTATCCTTATCTTCAGGGCAGATGTTTTTATTTTATTCAGTTTATAATTCCTTACTAAATGTAGTAGTACTCAGTCTTTGATATGATTTAAATCAAATTCCTCGTCATTATAAATATCACGAATACACATCAAATAGTTTTCTGGTTGCAATTTTTTAATTTGGACTATGCATAATGTATGCTTTACGCATGCGCACGTTAAAAGAAATGTTTAATAAAGTAAACAAATAAATATTAAGCTTTTTTTTTTTTGTAAATTTTGATACACTTTAGAACATAATTGCTCTTTATTTCATAAATTACGGTTTCATATTTTTAATTTTATAATTTC